CTTTCTTTGTGATTGTTTATGTTTAAGTTGTTTGTTGCTGGTTTTTAGTTTGTTTTTTGTCTTTTTGGGAGCTGACACAGTCTCTATGGAGATGGGTTTTTGGGAGGGTATAAATGCTACACAGTAGAAACGACATGCAGCCGGAGTATTCCTAAATCTTACAATATTTGATGCAAGTGATTATGAAATATTAATTAATAAACTGGAACAATATTTAATCAGAGGGGTTGTACTACATTGCGTGAAAAATTATTTGACCAGCAGGAAACAATTTGTGAGATGGGAGAGTAATACTCCTCATGTTTGGATGTTATCCAGAGTTCTGTCCCGGATCCAAAACTATTCACTATTTAAATAAATGACATTTGAAGGGTATGTGATATATTAAAAATACACATTTTTGCTGATAACACAAATTTTTTTGTTATTGGGGGAAATCTAATGGAAATGCTGAATATGATTGCTATGATAAAATATAGTAAAAATGTTAAAAATAAAAGTGGTTTGAGAGGAAAAAACTATCATTAAATCTATCCCACGTTTTCTTAAGCCTCAGTAGAGAAGCTGAGAATTCCCTGTCCCCAGTCACCTCCTCTAGCATGTATGGAGGAACAGCAAGGCATTCCCAGACCGAGTGAGAGATATGATCTCTCCAGGGTGTCCTGGGGCCTCCTCTCAGTGGGACATGCCTGGAACACTCCACCCAGGAAGCATCCTGGTCAGATGCCTGAACCACCTGAACCGGCTCCTTTCAATGTGGAGGAGCAGTGGTTCTACTCTGAGCCCTTCCCAAATGGCCGACTTCTTCACCCTATCTCAAAGAGAGAGGCCATTCAATCTTCAGAGAAAGCTCATTTCTGCCGCTTATATCTGCAGTATTATTCCTTTGGTCACTACCCAGGGATGGGAAGCTGGTTCAGGTTCAAAAGCTGGATTTGTCATACTGTGTTGGTGCTTACAAAACCACCATGAAAGCTCAAAGGTCTATATGCATATTTTAGAGCAATATATGATTTGATCCAGATGTCGTTTTCAGGGAAGACCTTGCAAATTTTAACCTAAGACAATGCTAATGCTGTATCTTTTACAAGAGTATGTCTTCATAGCACAGGAGTCCTGGTAATGACCGGGCATCCCTGCAAACCAGACCTTTGCAGTAACTGAAAACATTTGGCATGTCATGAAAAGACAATAAAGACCCTGAGAGACTCTTGTCTGACTCAGGATTGTTGCAGTGATTACTTTTGTTTTGTCTGTTTTCAGCCTGAATATGGAGAATTCAAAATAGCCGAGAATGTCTTGCATCTAATTTATAACCAAGGAATGATCTGGTAAGTCTGAAAAACATTTTACAATTCCAGAACCACAGGACCTATTTCAGAGCTAATGGCCTGACTGGTGCTGACAGGTCTCCATTACCCTGTTTAACGGACTGTAGCTCTCTGTAATCTTTCCACTACACCTCTTGATTGTATTTTCTCATCTAATTTCAGAAACGTCTCCTTGCAGCAATAAATGTAATGAAGTGAAATCATGAGCCACTGAATGTCATATCTTTTATATGAAGTGTGACCTTATTGCCTGTGTGTGTGTGTGTGTGTGTGTGTGTGTGTGTGTGTGTGTGTGTGTGTGTGTGTGTGTGTGTGTGTGTGTGTGTGACTGGTCTATCTCTTTCTTTCCTTCAGGATGGGGGCATTTTTTTCTCCCTGTCTTCCTGCCTTTAATGTGCTGAAGCTGATTGGTCTGATGTATCTGAGGAGCTGGGCTGTACTTACCTGCAATGTTCCCCATCAGCAGGTCTTTCGAGCATCCAGGTTAGATGCACACACACACACACACACACACACACACACACACACACACACACACACACACACACACACACACACAGATGAAACATACCCAAATTTCCAGTATAGTTAAAAAAAATCATTTGATGACTTTTATTTGGCCTAAATATTAGTGTTTTTTCTACCACCGTGTTGGCATTTTGAACACAGAATTTCCCACATCTGGATGAAAGTAAAGGTAAATTCAGGTAATCTTATCTGCACAGGTTTAATGCTGTGATGCTACTGAATAATGGACTAATTACATATTAAATTTTCACTCACCAAAACTGAAGCACAAACCTTTTGGACTGTCTTTTCCTTACAGCACAATTTGTTAAAACAAAATCCATTAAAAATGCTGCAAAAAGGCATAAATGGTGCAAACGCTATGGAGAAATCAAGGTCAGTGAGAGGTGCAGCCCAGCACTTTTCATAACCACCATCAAAACACCAAGAATGTCTTTGTCCAGACATTCTCTTATATTACATCCTTGGCTCTTTGCAGTTTGACAAAGATTTAAAATTGCCACCAAAGGCTTGTACAGTATATTGTCAGCAAAGGGGGTATTTTTCTTAAGCCTGTTCACTTATCAGCCTGTGCAGCAACTTACGTATACACACATATACTCAGTCAGGCTACTCTGATTTAAGTTTTTTTTTAAAAAAAAGCTGTGATTGCCTCTTTCAGTCCTTATCAGCCACTCCGAGATGTGGTGGAAAATCACACAAGACACATGTGCATATCGATAGCATCGACAGTTCACTGTGTAAAAGGAAAATACAGTGGTGTGAAAACGTTTTTGTCCACTTCCTGATTTCCTATTGTGGAGATACAGAAATTCTTTTATTGCTGCCATATAACCTGCATCATTATAACTGCATTAATAACATTCTTTACAGCATTATTTCATCTAATAATATTTCTCACAGTATTGATACTGCATTACAGCTGTTTATTGAAGATGTCCATTTGAGGATCCTTCCATTATGTTAACTTTTATTACAAGTACGGTCAGAAGTATTTCATACACATTGCATATCTGTGCTTATTTTGAGTTGATGTTCAGTTCATTAAGGGTCTTAAGCTTCACTGGCGTGACTGTCCAGGTGATACATGCTGAGGGAAACTAGAACATAGAAGGATAACTGCAATGCATGCTTACAGTACATATAATACATATAATCTAGGAATGTGTCCGGCCTGAGGCCTTAACTCATTTGGTGTCTCAATATATTTTATTCTACTTGGTAACAGACGACCAGAGTCAATAATTAGCCTCAGAGACCCTGAGGGCTTGAAGTTTATTACCTTGTATGGAAGGTGTTATAGAAAAGAGAAGTTCTATGTCTGTTATAGCTATTAAAGATGTACGATTAACGGTGACTAATGTCTGGAACCTATTTTAATCTGTCATTGACGCCATGGGGGGGCGTGTACCCCACTGCTTTATAAGTATCCACAACATGTATTTTGGTCAGGAGACATATGCTGATGTTTTCTCCGGGCTGTTAATAAACTCATCGTTTGATTGCACTTTTCTGGGGCCTCCGTGGTTTGTGACACTGCTCTACATGGATTGATTTCGCGACACTATATTTTGTATCTGTCACATTTAAATTTTTCAGATCATCAAACAAATTTAAATATTAGACAAAGATAACACAAGTAAACACAAAATGCAGCTTCTGAATGAAGGTGTTTAACATTAAGGGGGAACAAATCCAAACATACATGAATTCTGCCGTCTACCAAACTTCCTGCAGGAGAATATCTGGCCATCTCTTTTTGACCGCCAGCTGAAGCACACTTCAGTTCTGCAGTTGGACAATGATCCGAAATACACCAGCAAGTCCACCTCTGAATGACTATAAAAAAGAAGACTTTAGAGAGGCCAGTCAAAGTCAAGACGTGAAAAAATTTAGACAGTCTCACTTGCTAGTTAGATTTAAGCACCACACACTATTTGGTGTGTTTTAAGAAATGATCCTGTCATGAGTAAACACTGCCTGAGTATTATTTGGACTTAGCAGCCACTCATGATTCACCATTCGTTCAAGATTTGTCAGAATATTTTTTTTCTATGATCTTTATTGCTCAAAAAGGGAACAGTGCTTATCCTGTTACTCGTTGCACAAAGGAACAGATTCTAGCTCTGCTGATAGGTCGGGACCTTTTACAGCCCTGTCAGCTCTCCTGTAATAATGCCCACTGCTACTTAGCTGATCAGATTAAGATCCCAGAAGTTCAAGTGACTCGATGCTATACTTTGATGAAAAATCTTCCTTAGTTTATTTATTTATTGAGCAGTGTATTTTGGCAAGTAGAATAGTCACAACACTTAATCTAGTTACTTTGTCAATTTTCAGTTAGATGTTACAGATATGTGGTCAGATACACAGAAAAAACAAAGAAACAAATGTTCACCTTTTGAAGATGACAAACTGTTTAGAGGATATTTGCAGATATACTCTGGGATACTTCTGCTAAGTTAGGGCTGCTCAATTAATCGAATTTTAATCACGATTACTGACTGACGATAAATGACTGAGCCGATTATTAGCCCCTCCCCTGTGCTTTACTCTCGCGCTGCTCTGTGTGGCAAATCGAGCGCACCGCTCTGCATTTCAAACACGTGTCACAACAATTAAGAGCAGCGGTCTCCAACCTTTTTTGCACCACGGACCGGTTTATGCCCGACAATATTTTCACAGACCGGCCTTTAAGGTGTCGCGGATAAATACAACAAAATAAAACTAGTACCGGTACCGAAAAAAAGAAAATTTATTCATAACACACGTGAAAAGACCAGGAAAACCGAGTAAACGATAAAAACGATAACAAAATAACGCTGAAAACTGATAAAAACCCTGAAAACCAGACATTTCACACCTGAGCTTCAACTCTCGCGGCCCGGTACCAAACGACTCACGGACCGATACCGGTCCGAGGCCCGGGGGTTGGGGACCGCTGATTAGAGGACCCGAGGGAAGCTCGGAAAGCTAAGCAGAAGTTATTTGGAGAGGAGAGTGACTGCCGTTGGTTGAAAAGAGAGGTAAAAAAACTTCAGTGGCGTGGAAACATTATGGGTTCAGTCAGACGTGGATCAAGTAAACATAGTGTGTAAACTTTGCTCGGTGTCGTAGCTGCACCACAGAGCAACACTGCAAAGTTCACTAAACACAGATGTTTACATTTTTCATTTATTTCTTATATTGCAAACATTTGCACTGTTATCAGTATTTGCACTATTTTATATTATTTTTGACAATCTTTAAAGTCATTATTCAACACATTGTTATTGTTAAATAAATATCGTCAAATAATCGAGATCTCAATTTCAGTCAAAATAATCGTGATTATCATTTTTGCCATAATCGAGCAGCCCTATGCTAAGTTGATTCACATGAATTGTAATTTTCTACTCAACTGCTCAGGAGCATGAAGGAAAGACAGTAATGTAAAAATGAATCATATCAACACATCCATGTTCTCACGTTGCTTTTTTAGGTCAAACAACTTCTACCTGGCTATGCTGCTTTTCATGCTGTTTTTGTGTATGCTGCCCACCATCTTTGCTATAGTGAGATACAGACCATCACAACACTGCGGACCTTTCAGGTAAGGAATTAAAATTTATCTTACATCCATCGAGACCTTCAAGGTCAACTTAACAATTTATTGGTGAGAAACTGACAAAAGACTTTATGGAAACTATGACTCTTGGAATTTTGGTGTCAACATATACAGTAGAATGCACTGTATAAAGATTTTGAATATCGTGTCACGTTTCACCTCTGACCTCTCCCAAAGGTCAATGAATTGACCTAAAGGTCAAATGGATAATGCAGGCAAAATACAATACTATTTCCCTAAAGTAAATACTGCTCAGGGAAGCAAGCCTCTGACTGTTTCTTGTTTTTAATGAACAGATTCCCTTTTTTATTTACTGTGCTGAGAATGTAAGACAGAAGTGGATGTTTTACCACATGTACCAATGAGGGATATATGCATATTTTAGAGAATTCCCAATTTTGGTGTCTTCCATCCTCAGCCTGCACAATACATATTTATATGTGTTTTGAAACGGGACATATTTTAATTTACGAGCGTAGCATCATAGTTTGGAAAAGATCTTTCTTTGCATAGTATACAAAGTCAAATCCTGTTTCCAAAAAAGCTGGTAGGGTATTTAAATAAAATCAAAATGTAGTAATTTTCATACCATTTAAAGACTATATTTAAATACTTCAGAAAGATCATATTAAATAACTGAAATTGAAAAATATCATTCAATTCATATGAAATGTTGATTAAACTCCATTGCCAGATACACATTAAAACATCTCCATTTCCTTCTGTGTTGCGTCTCCTTGTTGGAACGAGTTGCTGCAGTTTGAAAGCGATGCCCATTGTTGTCCCTTTTGGAGCTATACTATTGAAATGGATGCAGAATGTTCTGGACTGTCTTGCTGAAATAAGCAAAGCCTTCCCTGAAGTTGTCAACTGGATGGCAATATATGTTGTCATGCATCTGTAT